TATAAAAAGAACTAAATCCCATGATTAGCCAAAGATTTGAATATTCAAATAAACTGTAAAGAGGAAATTAATTCCAAATAGTCCATAAATATTGATTAAATATCTCTTAATAAAAAATGAATGTTCCTGCATTATGTAAAATACTATATACATTTCTAAAAACGTATATTACTCTTAACATCTAATTTTGACCGTAACCGGTGCTTTTCATATTAATTTGATTTATTCAAGTAAACGGTCCCGCTTCCAAATTATAATATTAAAAAATTTAAAATATTCCCGTGAGAAATACTTTATTTATAATATTGTAGTCAGGGCTTCGAATTACGTTGAAAATGGATTTCAAACGTAAAATACTTTTATACAATTTATACCATCTTGGCGGAAAGTTTTTACGAAAAACTATATAGATTGAAATAAGATCTTAGAAATTCTTAGTTTTTCGTAGATATATTTGTAGTGGGACGTAAAGTAGTGTTATTTGTTTGAAAAACCAAAAAATCCTCCGCCCACAAATAACGCCATTTTACGTCTTACATACAAATACCTACGAAAAACTAGGGATTTTTGAGACAAACAAATCTCACTTTATGTCTCACTACAAATATATCTACGAAAAATTAAGAATTTCTAAGATCTTATCTCAATCTATATAGTTTTTCTGTACCTTTTCGTAAAAAATTTTTTCCGCTATGGCAAGAAAAACCATTTTTGCATTCGAAAACCATTTAAAATACCTATTTATCCATTTTACATTTAAAATGGATTCCTATTAAAATGGAAAAACCTATTTTGCATTTTGCATTTTAAATACATTTTTTAAAAGTATTTTACAATTAGTATTTTAAATGGAATTCGAAAGACATTTTACCAAGCCCTGATTATTCTCGACAGTCGGAGGACGGATGTTATGGTGAAATAACTTATATTAAATTTATTGGCATTTAATTATATGAGTGATCATAAAATGTCCAGGTAAATATGCTTGTAAGGTAATGAACTTCCGTCAATCCTTGCCTCTCACTTCGAAGTCTTTAATCACCACTTTATTTTGCAACAGGTTTGAATATTCTTATTTTCTACTTAACATTGACTTCATAAAATAACAGATGTTATTCGTTGATGCTCAAATTGATTCTATATTTTAAGTACAGACGTGCTATATTATTAAGCATTTCGAATTTACATACAAAACTAAATATCGAAAATATATATATATATGACTTTTCAAAATGTACGAAACTGTATTTGAGATATTCGTGAAGTACCTAGAATGGAAAAACTTAATAAAATTGATAATAATGAACAAAAATACAAAATTGCAATCAGGTATATACCTGCATATTATACCGATATATGTATATATCGTACACTACTCCTCCCCTACACACACACACACACACACACACACACACACACATAACATTAAGATATATGTATGAATCTAATCTCATTGTGTGGAGGATACTACATTGTTGAAGGATATTAAACAGAAAAGATCAAACTTGAATTGCAAAAGTTGGATTCAAATTTTATTGTGTTCAGAATTATACTATGTTTGAAATTGTACTACTTTACCCTACAACCATTTGTATAAATTCCTATAATTAAAAAACAAACTGTTGTACCATACTTGAAGATATTTTTCAGTTCAATTAAATCCAAATCCGTTTATTTTTCATGATTGTGCTTATGGAGTTCGGCACATACCATAATTTCAATGCCAATTTGACTGAAATCACTTTTCTATAAGATTAATGCGGGGTTCTTTAATTCATGATACTGCGTAGTAACAACACAGTTAATAAAAATCTCTAAAAAGATTAGACATTTCAAAAATTAATGAATAATAATTAAAAATTAAAAAACAAGTTAAGAAAATAATCGGTAATAAATTTTTGCAAAAATCATATAAAGAGCAATAAGCAGTAAAACGCCACTAACAATCCGAGAATTTAAACTGCCGCTCGTAAAATATACAAGTGACTTCTTATGGTGTTTGGACTGTACTCTAGAGAGATAAATGAACATTAAACCAGGAAACGTTTGTTTGAGCGTAGTGAAACGATAGGGTGTCCATTCTGCGTTCCAACGTGACAAGCTCAATCGCTTTATATCAGTTTAGAAATGTTACGTGTTATTTGTCGCAATGTCATGGTTTAAACAATTAGCTCCTGCTATTTTGTGACTAAAACAATATATTTTCTTATTGTATAATTTATCGCAAATTTAATGTTGATAAAAAAAATTAAAAAAGACAATTAAAATAAAATTCTTAAAAATAAAATATCGATTTTAAAGTTCATAAATCTATGTATATTATTAACTGCATTCATCAAAATATATTATACGATAGTATCATTTATTAAAATATAAAAATTTCATAAATATGATCATTCAAAGATATAATTTCCTTTTTTATTTCTTAAAGATGATTCTTTCAATGTTCCTTTATAAATAATAAATAAAATCTTCGTTTCGAAACGCAGATGTGAAGTGTCCAATGAGACTTACGAAGGAGACGTAAGAGTAAACTAACAATTAATTTTTCAAGAAAAAGAAATTGCCTATAAATCAATCGGCAAGCAGGGATGAAAAAAATCGCCATAATATAAATCAATTAACCAGTGGTTCACGCTGTTAATGGGAATTTTTACGGGCATAAAACCAACATATCAATCTCGCAGATGGTATCGATAACCTGCAGAATTACTACCTTATGGACAATCTGCACTTCTGTATGGTGGACGCGTAATGTAATAATAGTGCACCGCAATAGAAGACACTACGTTCCTCTCAACGCATGATTTATATTAGCGCGGTGAACTAGCTGATTTATCTCGTAATGAAGTATTAAGCAATCTTGCACTAACCGACAGCCGCCGGACACGGGCGAGAATAAATTCACATGTTACAATTAATACTATGCTATGCGTGCATTGCGTTAGTTAGAAATTCGTTGCTTCGTATCTGTACATGATCGTATTGCATTATAAAAAAGATATTTCGTAATAGAGAAATTAGAATTGTGAAAAATATGTGCAATATATACATATATTCAGAGTTAGGAAGTAAATATACCAATGTCCGGATATGTACCTATGTCTGGACACATACACAAAATTTATTATTATTAATCTCAAATGCTTTTTTTATTACTGTATTATAATTTAATTACATTTAAAAATTAAATTATAATATTACGTTTTAAAAAGCATATTTGAGACCATTATTAACTTAAATAATTAACGTGTTATATAAATGTCTGGACATAGATACATGCTACATGTCCAGTCACTAGGACCGGACAGTACCTATGTCTGGACAGTTACACGAAACTTTATTTATATAAATTAATATTAATCTCATGCTTTTTACCTTTAAGACCAATTTGAATTAGTTGTCTTTTGTCATTAAACATTTATTTACATTAATATTTCCCGTCAGCATACTAATTTTCTAATTGTGGTCGGAGACAATTACGTTTCAATGTCTCTGACCGGCTGTCCGGCTACTTTTTGTAGATATGCGTACATTGACGCATTCTATTACTTATTTAAATATTTTAGTTAATAATTGTTATAAGTGGATTCAAATAATTTTTCCTTGCTTAAAGGAGTCTTTTCAAATAAATACAAATATTTATATTAAAAACCTTTCTGATAATATAAATTATATTATATATGACAACCTATGCTTAAACGTCCGGCTACTGGTACATTTACTTTAACACTTTACTTGTAACGTTGTTATGACTACAATTACTTTCTTTCGATAATAAATAGGTAACAACGTTTCTTATTTATAACATTAATGGTAATTACATTTTTTGGATAACGATAATGAACATAATCGTTATTTTTATCATTACTTTATACATAATACATATGTATGGAACATGCATATAAGCGAGTCCTTTTGAACTATTTTGCCATTAGCCGTAAGCACTAAATCCAGTGTTAAACTAGTAAATAACAATATAGACAATTGCCATTCTAAAAAAAGTCATCAAAGTTTGGTAAAAAAGTAACGAAAATTGTAACGTTAGTTTTTTAGCAACAATAACGATAACAAGTACTTTTTATCAAATCAATAACGACTTACTTCTAGAAAATAACTTTATCAACCTTATATATACATATATATATTTAAACATATTTTATTCGTATATTTGGTATACATTTTACAGCTTTTATTATTTATTAAATCATATTGCAATGATAATTTTATTAAAACGAACTGACATTTCAAATTAGCTGAAGAATATTTTGTCATTATATATACATTTGATATTTATTTTTTTCTTCTAAAGTTTTATAAGCCAGAAGTTCTTTATTTTTAATTTAATTGTTATAAACATCAATTAAGCTTTAAATAAATAATTAAAACTATAGATACATCTTCAACTTCGATTTTTGTCGAGGAAAAATTCCGTATTTAATCTTCTAAAGAGTCTATAGTAAAAAAGATATCCGGTAATTTCAAAATATGATGTATATGTTTAAAAATATATTTATAATACGCAATTTTATAAATAACAATCTAAACAATCTAATTGAATTTTGATTTCGTAATGAAAATAACTTGAATGAAATGACCACGAGAAAAAGGACTGTTGTAATACCGAGCGCTAACAAGATCCTGCAATTTTTTCAATGGCGCATGTGACATCACGGCTAAGGTAGATCTCTCGGCAGGTGGAAAAATGGTCTCGTTAAGGTTGTGGCATCGAAATGCACTCACATATGAACGCATATCTACATAAAGTGGTGGCTAAGCGTGCGCTCCATTTACCAACGGCAGCTTGCGCACGTTTAACATGTTATACAACCGTTGCACCGTTATGTATTATAACATACGTACATCTATGTGCAGTATATCGTAGGTAAATAGTGTTAGACTCTGGGTAGGTGTGGCGATAGACCGGCCGTTGGCTTCCCTCGCCAATGGCGGGGCGCAGGGTGCGCGAAATGAAAGTCAATTCCCTATATAAAGGGTGGTTTTCCAGCCCGACAACGACAGAAACCGATCTATTTTACTCACGCGCGAGTATCACGCCAAAGTATCGTTCAACATGAGAGCCTTGGTACGTGCTGTCACATCTCCGAGCAAAGTTAAAGAAGCAGTGCTGAGAACATTTTTGTTCGGACATAATGCTTAATCAGATTGAAGTTTAGGAGTCGTCGTGCTAATCTAATTTTTCTATGCTTATCGCGCTTTGTCATGGTGTTCTTTTGCAAAATTGGAAAGACTTACGTCAAAATTGGAAAAGTCTATTATTTGTGCGAAATTTAATTCGCGTGTGAAGATTCTTCAAATTTTGGATTAGTATCTCGACCGTGATAATTATCAACTTTATAAGATTTGTTAATATTGTTTTGCAGATATCAATTGATTTGGTAACAGTTATTTGTTCCAAAAAATAATTAAATTAGAGTTATCAAGATTATCATATTATTCACACTTAATAGTTTTTTTTATTAATCTGCACTTTATAATTGACGATTTTACGCTTTATTCAATGTTTCAAGTATTTCTCTCGAGTTTATCAATTTTAATAGCTCTAATTAAAACTAGGTTAGACAAATATTCCAGTAATAGTTATTTTTACAGATCTTTATACATTTATCCGTAAATTCTCATTAAAAAGTCCTTTAATGCTCTTGATTTTGAAAAATTCATTATGATAAATTTTAATAATTATTTGTTATTTGACAATTGTCTTTGTTAATATTAATTTTTATAAATCTCTTAATAAAATAACTAATCGATTCACAGATCGTTATAGATTTTTTAACTGACATTTTTTTTCTTTTTGCAGATCTGCCTGGTACTAATCTCCGCGGCGTTCGCTGCCGAAGAGAAGACGGTCAAGAAGCGTGGCCTGGTCGGTCTAGGTGACTATGGCGGTTGGTCTGATGGTGGATATGGTGGATATGGTGGATATGGTGGATATGGTGGATATGGTGGATATAGTGGATATGGTGGATATGGTGGATATGGTGGATACGAGGGAGGCCATGGCGTTGCCGTCGCTATCAAGGAGAAGACAGTCGCTGTTCCCGTCGCGGTTCCGCATCCAGTTCCCGTCGATCGCCCCTACCCTGTTAAGGTATGAATTAATCAATTTAATTTTGGATAGGGTATCACAACAAATAATAATAATCTTGCAAAATAACTTTAATAATTTAAATTATATAAATAAAAAATTAATAAGATTTAAATTTTAATAACATAAATTTTAAATGTTCCAGCCTAACAAATATTGAGTTAACTAAAGTCTTAACTTTAATTTAGTTTACATTTTTTATTAATTTTATTTATTTAATTTTAATTAAGTACCAAGTGATTGAAATAAGTTGTAAAGTATTGTATTAAATATTTTAACAAAGAGAACTAAAGAGCAAATAAATATTATCATTCGTTTCGACATATAATGGAATCTGAATTCTTTGCTATCTTTAGATTCCAGTTGAAGTTCCCAAGCCAGTCCCAGTTGCTGTTCCGGTGCCAGCGCCGTACCCAGTTGTTAAAACCCAGACGATCACGATTCCCGTAGAGAAGCCTGTTCCGGTCTCGGTCCCTGTTAAGGTACCAGTGCCCGTACCTGCCCCATACCCCGTCAAGGTAAATTATAACAAATAGTTATACAAATATAGTGTATATACAAATTCGAATTTCCTATTAACCGTGACACTTTTATAATTTTTGAATTTTTACGAATTAGAACATACATTAATTAGACGTGATAGATAAAAAATCTGACAAAAAATATCAAGATTTATATTGTAATTTCTAAATGAAGAAATAGTGTCTTCATATTTTTTAACATAATTTCTGATAAATTTTAATTATTCCATCTTTAATATATTCAACTCGTTATAATCCTGTATTGTCTCATTATAATTCATTACCTGTCTAGCGCAACAAGTAGAAATCGAGATATTATACAATTATTAACAGTTTCGTTGAGTGCTCTCGGTTTTCAGTATAAGTAATTTCCCGCAATTAACCTGTATTAATTAATTGATATTATTCTATGTATCGCAATAAGAATTATGGTTTTTGTCATTTATATTGCGTGTTACACGATTATTGTAAATAAATGCATCCAAGAAAGAAGAAACCGATCGCTGATTGGACATAATTTTCAACATTGTGTGTTGTATAACTAAATTAAAATTATACTTGGAATTATTAACCGATTACTGTAATTGACGATTGAAATATGATTGATTAATATAATTAATGCGGACATATATTAGCCATAATTATTTAATCTATTAAGTGCTGCGTGTTTTATTTTTAAAATGTATAATAATAATAATTTGTAATAACAAGTAATTAATTACTTTAAGCGATCAATGATTATATTGTCCGTATTAATATTCTATTATTTATATTATTTAATATTTTAATTAATATTTGTTGATGTTTTGTTGATTTTAGGTCGCTGTCCCCCATCCAGTTCCAGTCCATATCTCTCACGCCGTTCCAGTCGCAGTCCCGCATCCAGTCGTCGTCAAAGAAACGGTTCCCATCCTCGTTAAGGGAGGCCATTATTACTAGATGAATTTCTCCTCAAAAGTCACATACACACACCTCTCCATAACCCTTTTCCCAGCAGCGCAAAATCCATCACAACGAGCGTCTGTTCCAAAAACGTTTCTCT